GGATCTGTGGCCAGTATTCAAAGATTAAAGAAGGAAATGGTGCATTATGTAACATTGCCTGCCAAGTTTTGTAGGATAGATGTTCTATATTTTTGTCCCATTTTCCAATTGCTAATAAGAGTGTAGGTGGTTTTGTTTAATTTCCTGTTTGATCAAATACTGATATGATCTTTTGAAATGGTCACTGGGATCTTTGAAATTGTAGGTACTTTGTAGTGAGAGCAGTAGCAATTAACAGAAATAATGTTATGCTGTAACTTACTTTAACACTTAGGCCCATTATGTCAATTTCGGCTTCTGACTAGAATAAAACTATTTCCATGAGTCTCAAACAAAATTTCAGTATGGACAAAAATTACTTGGTGGTGTGCTTTCATCACCAGATACTAATGTGTATTGTTCGGGTTTTTTAATAATGCCCAGCTGTCACAATACTTGTCAGTATGATGAATATTCTTTTGTTTATTTTTTGACTACTTTAAAAGTAACATTTTTCTTACAGAACTGAAAATAATTAAAAAAAACCCTATTCTTTATCACCTTTAAAAAAATTCTAATTGGTTTTCTTTATTAATTTAATTTTTCAGTTCATCTAGGAACTCCTGATAAATTCACCGTGAACACTAATAGTTCAACAAGTGCCCATCTGTCTTGGTATATACCTGGCAACTATATTCAAATAAGACTTCTGTGTCAAATTGAAATTAGCAACAGTAATTCAGAACAACAACTGGTAAGTATTATGTTAATGTAATTTTGCTCTGCTGAAATGCTAATGGCTTTATTTAAATTCCTTTCTTTACAATTTTCTTTAACAAGAAAAGAGAAATTGATAGGTTATGCTGTTTATTGAATACTGTATTAAATATCAGAAGTCTAGCTGCTAAGCATGCAGAGAAGCACCAATTCTGCTTACTTCCAGAGTATATTGGTAAGTCCTAACAGGCAAAACTAACGTAGTGTATTGAAACATTGCAAAGCATTACAATTAGACGTAATATTTTAGTTCTGTCATAATTTTTCACAATTGCTTTTCTGAAGATGTCTCTGTTAAATTGCTACTCTCAGAAGCCAGATTAATTGCTACTCTCAGGAGCTACTCTTTGGGAGCTAGGCAGCTCTTATGCACACAGTATCATTATACTTTTCCACTCTGAACATTTACTTTGAGGTAGTTTTTAAGATTCCAGGCCTGACATTTCCAAGTCACTGTTAGAGTTGGTGTAAGTGGAATCTTCTTACTTTGTATGTGTTTGTCAGCTCTTTCAGCAACTTGCTATTGCAATCTGTAGATGAGGTTAAAACTGTAAGAGGGGAAGAATTTTCCCACTGATAGTGATGAGCTGTTTGTGTCCATAGATACCCGTTGAAGTCTTCTACATCTGTAATTTAGAGAAAACAAAAAAGTACCTGCTATATCAGGGGTCTCAAACTCTACTTGGAACCAGTGCTAGTCCTCAGATCCTCCTAGTGGACATCCCCTCTCCCCCGGCAACAGCTTTGGGGGAGCAGAGGACTTCAAAAGGCCCCCTGCACATCCCACGGCCTTTCCTGCTGCCCCTGGGTGATTTAACTCATGGGATGGTTCCCCATACTCGTTACCCCATGGAACCCTGGGCAGCCTGGGCCTGGCCTGGCAGCAGGGATGGCTGCATATTTTCACTGTGGCAGCAGGAGCTGTGAGGAAGCAGAGAGACTGGGAGAGGCTGAGAGAGTGTGTTGGAGCAAACTTTTTCCTTGGTGTGGAAAAGTGAATAAAGAAGAGTTGTTTATTCCTTCCATAACACAAGAACTAGGGGTCACCAAGTGAAACTAATAGGCAGCAGGTTTCAGAAAACAAAAGGAAGTATTTCTTATTGCTGTGCACAGTTAACCTGTGGAACTCTTTGCCAGAGGAGGCTGTGAAGACCAAAAAATAAAAACTAGATAATTCGTGGAAGATAGGTCAATCAAA